GGAGGAAGCGCCATCATAGCTGGAGTCCTGTCTCTGATGCTCCCAGAGACCATGGGATACAGTCTGCCTGATACCATTCAGGATGGAGAGAACTTTGGTAGTAAGTCATACAATCATTTACTCTCCTATCACTTTTTCTCATCCTTTGCTTGGGCTGAGGTATGAAAGCGGCATCCCCCATGCTATTTCATCCCAAATAATAGATTCATTTTCTAAATTGCTTTTTTTCGAGTACTTCAAAAGTTATTCACTTGTGAATGAGATATCGACCCCCAAAAGAACAGCCAATATAATTAGTTACTGAAATATCACTGGTTCCCGCCCAACAATCAGTATCAAATATGTGCGGACCGCGAGCCAGTCTGCTCGCGAAGAGGATCTGTCTGTGCCCGAAACAAAACGAAACACTTCAGAGGTTTGGAGACTTCTAAAAAGAAGGGGAAAAGAGGGTTTTTTTTGGTTGCAGCAAAACTACGAGTTGAAAATCATTAATAAAAAAAAAAAGATTAATTTTTGCAGAGCATGGGGAACACAACTTTCATCGACTGTACTTTCTGAAAGACCCTAAATGTGCCACAGTTCCTAAATGTGCTACAATTGTTCAACTACAGCACGTTTTTCTTGTTTACTTTCTGGTATAACAGAGGGAAGAAGCTTCCAGTTTTGCGTCAAGGGCAATGATGATGGAGAGAATGAGAGTCCCACTCAAGCTCCTATCGACTACTTGCCACTATCCACAATGGATCAAACTCCAAAGCAACCTTTGGGGGCACACCTATGGAGCAACTAATGCGAGCGCGGGGCCCGAAGCCCTGACGGCGCTGGGTCCAGGGTCCACTTAAGAACCCTGAAAAATGTTGGATTCCTGGCCCCTTTCCCCCGAATTACTTGAGCAAAATTTTATTAGATCATAAGGATTTTTTTATAAAATATACTCTTGCTTTTACAAATTGTAAGTTACTAGTGTACTTCAAAGTTGAAAACCATGTATTTTCGTCTTCATATTTTCTTGCATTTTATTTTTGGAAAAGGAATTGTAGTGACTTAGTTTGTAAACTGTTGCAGCGATGCGTTGGGGCATTTGCTCCGAGGACTATATGAGAGCGCAGATCACGAATGTCTTACGGCGTGGGGTCCGGGCCCACTGAAGGGCCCCGGGAAATTTTGGAATCTAGATGCTCTGTGGTGCAATCTCAGGTGATTCCTGGCCCCTTTCCCTTAGCCCTGAGTTATTTGAGCAAAACGTTTTAAGATTATAACGGTTTTTTCATTGGTTTAAAATATACTCTTGCTTTTGTATGTCTTTTAAGTTTCTTCGGTTCTTCACTTGATAACCATGTATTTTCGTCTGCATAATTATGTTCTTGCATTGTATTTTTAAAAATTATATAGAGTTAGTTTGTCAACTGTTGTAACAATGGGAAGGGACATCAGCCTCGAGGACTAAAGTGGAGCGCGAATGTCATACGTTGTGTGGTCCAGGACCCGCTTAAGGGCCCCAGGAAACTTGGGATTCTAGATGCTCTGTGGTGAAATCCGAAGCAATTCCTGGCCCTTCTTTTCCTGAGTTATTTGAGCAAAATGTTTCAAGATTATAAGACATTTTTTATTGGCTTAAATATACTCTTGCTTTTACAAGCCTTTTAAGTTTCTTCTGTTTCTCACTTGATAACCATTATTTTCGTCTGCATAATCGTTTTCATTTTTAATTTTTTTTATTTAATTTTTGTAGTCATTAGATAAAACTGAGCTTTGAAGTTACAATGTGCATAGAGGCCTAATTGCTCCTCTGTTTTAGTTTGCTTAAATTACACTTATTTTAAACTTGAATTCAATTTACATGTTCAGGCGGTTTGTTCTCATTGTTAAACTGAAAATTTCAACTTGAAAATGTAAAAAAAAAAAAATTAAATGAAGATTTATGCTGAAGATTATCGTCGCGTTGATGTAATCAGGTGGCAAGTTACACCACATAGGTTTTGTACACGTTTTCATCAAACCATACACTTTGGCACTTAATACTACTGGCAGATGTTATGGAGTCATCAAACCATACAATGGGGCATTTTTACAACTGTCAACGGGATTGAATGTCAGTCACTCCATCCCCCAACCACCTAAACCATATGTAGCTGATTGTATACAGTATATTTTTGCGAACATCAGACCCTTCTAATTTCAGGGGGGAAATTTAATACAACTTGTTCATGGCGCTTGTTGTATTGGAGAAAAATGAATTGCTACAACCATTCAGTTTATAGGCAGCACATGTATATTCTAAGGCAGTTAATAAAATAGTTTTCCTGGTTTTTTTTTTTTTTGAGGGGTCATTAAATTTATGAAAGTTTCAAAGACATTCCCAAGTTCACACATATCTGGTATGCTTGTGTAGCATGAAACAAAATAAATAAAACACCGCAGACGACCATGAATATCACAAGAGGGTATGACGTTGATACCCAATTCACTTCTACACACCCCAATAATTTCGGAGCCCTACACATGGACATGTACATGTACATCAGACTTCGGAACCATACACATGCACATGGGTACAGTATCAGAATTGGATGAAACTCCTACATGACTATCTCTCTATATCTTCACAATTCTAGTTTAAATTATGGAATTTCATAAATTAACTTTTTCTGCTTGATACACATTGTTCGGGCCGTAAAAGGTCGTATTAGCAGGCCCGTCGCCAGCCCTTATCAAATAAGGGGCCCACTACCATAAAAAATACAAAATACATCGTATGGCTTTTGCCGTTGGGGGGGGGGGGCAAGTGCTCACCAAGGGGGGCCCGGCCCCACTAGGCCACCCCTTGGCGACGGGCCTGCGTAGTAGGACAAAAAATGGTAAAGTCAAATTCAGATTTTTCGGCTAACCGATAGAGCATGGAAATATCTTTCATATGATTAACATTTTGTCTCAAAAGGCTAACAGCAAACAAAATTCGTAAGGAAATTTTTCATTATTAGTTTCCGGCAAAAGGTCGTCAGCGTGTAATTCTAATGTAACAAAATATGTTCCAAGTGAGCTAAGGTCACACTCAAGTGGGTACGCAAAGCCAAGTTGGTTACCAGCAAAAGATCATTGTGATTTAACATGCCGCTTATAAGCACACATTTAAGGCAGATGGAGTTCCGGTAAAAGGTCGTAACCAATAAAATAAGGGGGCCCACTACCATAAAAAATACAAAATACAAATTAACTTCAAAAGTAAGTAATATTTTGAAATTAATATGCACAGTATTATTGTAATTATTAACAACTTTTATGCGTCCAAATTTCAGCCTTATGTGATATTTAATTTAGAAATGGGAGCACAAAACCTTTCAACTTGATTATCTCCAAAAGTGATTTTTGCGTGCCTGGGCTACTTACGACCTTTTCCTTGGCACACGACAATATATGGTTTGTTTCAGTATTTTAAATATTTTTAAAAATTATATTGGATCATTTTAAAATAGATAACGGTTTAGTTTCCAGTTTCTGTAGCTTGCTCATACTTCTTTTAATTCCAAACAAACATTATATTGCAAGGGAGATATACGACCGATATTGTGCTGGTTATTTTCCAACAAAAACAGGTTGATTTAAAATTGTAGTCTAGTTGTTTCCACTTTCAGTAAAAAAATATTAGCACACAGTAACAATGTTCTAGTTTAATTTCTTAGTTGAGATCATGTATCAATTTATAACTTAGTAGCCAAAAACGAGCATAATTATAATTAATCTAAAACATATTGGGAAAGCATTTTATGGTTAATATATCTTTTTTTAGAGTTGCGTACCCCATGCTCTTCAATTGTTAACTTGTGTGTTTTAATCCAAGAAGAAAATAATAACAACTATCTTTTTCCTTTTTGGTTGTCTGCAACCTTCGGGGGAAAAAATGGTTTTTATTTTGGGCACAAACAGATCAGCTTTGCGTGCAGACTGGCTCCCAGTCCGTACATTATTGATACTGATTGTGGGGTAGGACCAGCCCACCGAGCAAGATCAGAATTATTGTCTGGCAGCTAATGACTCAAAATTTGAAAAGTAATAATTCAATAAACAAACATGGGCCAATTTGTTCATTTGATGCCTCATTCAAAAGTGAATTAGAAAAAGTAACAATTTGGAAAAGAAATGTATTTTTCGGGATAAAATTCCAAAATAACATGGGTAATGCAATTTAAACTACTAATCATATGTGCAGCTATATTATTAGGGACACACAAACGTTTGTGGAAAAGCTATTTTTTTTTTTTTATAGTTAATGTGAACCTGACGGTTGTGAATATGGGTAGTTTGAAAATGATTGAATAAATTATTTGACGAACTGAGAAAGTGATAGACAAAAAAAAGTTATTTTTGAATTTTCACTCAATATACTTGATATATATTTTTACAGAATTTACTAAAATGTTGCTGCTAAAAAAAATTGTGTTGCAAACACTGGGGAATTTTTTTTTTTAGCAGGTTCTATTGGTGGGAGTTAAAAGCCTGTACGTTTTCAATTATTATTATTTAAAACAAATTTATTACATTTTTCTGCCAAAAAAAAGTTGTTTTCTCCATTGAATGAATGCATGAACTACAAGTGATACCCGGAACACTTGTGTCCCATTTCCCCCTACATGACCTTTTTCCCCTACAGCTCTGTAGGAGGTCACAAAAGATGTTAGCACACTCATCCTGCACAGACAAATAGTATAGAAAGTCAACCCAGACTTTATATACATGCAAAGTATTTGTCCTTCAAATGACAGTACACTGACCACAGCATTTAATGCTTGAGGGATATAGGCCTAACACCCAGACAACAATATACTCTGGTTCAATAATGCCATACAGGTCATATACACAGATTGCATTCAAAAGGTAACGATATTAAACTGAAGTTGGTTTAGACCATCAAGGAAAAGCACCTCTCCACATGCAACGGCTCAGCTCTCACTTTTAATGCATGACTCTTGCCAACACACTGGTCAAGTACTGAAGAATTCAACATGCACTACGAGGACATTTTGAATCAAATCGGGCCTTTTGGCAAGTACCAGAAACTGCTGGTGTTTGCCTTGTTTTTGGTTATTATTCCACCTCCCTTTCACTTCATAGGGCAGGTGTTCCTGGCTGCTAACACCGATCACTGGTGTGCAGTACCAGCCAGCCAGATGATCAACTGCAGCCAACTCCAGCTGGCTGAGTGTCAAGAAGAGCAGAAGAGCTACAGTATTCCCTATGAGATTGATGATGATGGAAACAAAGTCTACTCCTCGTGTGCGCGGTATGTCACGAACGATGAAGACGTTGGTAGAAACATGAGTTTGAATTCAACGGACGTCATCTCCTGCGATGCTGGCTGGGAATTTGATCACTCACACTACAAGTCCACCATCAATGAAGATTTCAGCTTGGTCTGTGACAGACAGGATCTACCTGCCTATGCCCAGTCAGTTTGGTTTGCAGGATTGCTGGTTGGTTCCTTGGTTTGGGGTTCTATGGGTGACTGGATTGGTAGGAGAAAGACCTTCATTTTAACTGTCATTCTTGTCACAATTTCATCTATTGTTACATCTTTTGTGCCCAACTGAACTACATACGCTGCCATGCGCTTCTTTACAGCAGCCTGTGCTTATGGTGGAAATCTCATGATATATGTCTTAGCTTTTGAAATAGTTGGTCCTAAAAATCGTGTAGGTACAACAACTGTGCTATTTCTAGTCTTTGCTGTAGGTTACATGATTCTGTCCCTTGTGGCATTCCTTCTGAGAGAATGGCGCCACCTACAGTTAGCTATATCACTCCCTTTCGTCCTGACTTTTCTTGCGATCATTGTGTTCCCTGAATCTCCTCGCTGGCTGATAACAAAAGGCAGATACAAAGAAGCTACCAAAATCATTGAAAAGATAGCTAAAGTGAATGGTACCGAGGCTCCACAAGACTTACTGAACAAACTGAGTGAAGACAGCAAAGAAGACAAGAAGCAGCCTTCTCGCATCCCTGTCACCCAACTTGATCTGATCCGTACTCCCAACCTACGCAAGAAAACTCTCATCCTTTGGGTTGACTGGTTTGTTGTCAACATTGTGTATTACGGACTATCTCTGAGTACCTCTGCCTTGGGGGTAGATGATTACCTTGCTGCCTTTGTCTCTGGCGCCATAGAGATACCCAGCTATCTTTTCTGTTGGTATATGATGGATCGTTTTGGCAGACGCATTACTCTAGTTGCCTTCTACATCTTTGGTGGAGTGTTTTGCCTCACTACAATCTTCATTCCTCTTGGAGCTGCCAGAGCTGCAGTTGCCATGCTCGGCAAATTTGCAATCACTGCAGCATTCGGTCACATCTACATCTACTCTCTTGAAATCTATCCAACCATCATCCGGAGTATCGGCATGGGCACATCTTCCATGATGGCTCGTGTTAGTGGCATCCTCTGTCCTATCATCTTGATCCTGGGCAAGTACTGGGAACCACTACCTGTGTCTTTGGAGGAAGCGCCATCATTGCTGGAGTCCTGTCTCTGATGCTCCCAGAGACCATGGGATACAGTCTGCCTGATACTATTCAGGATGGAGAGAACTTCGGAGGTAAGTTATACAATCATTTAATCTCCTGTCACTTTTTCTCATCCTTTGCGTGGTCTGAGGTTTGAAAGCAGCATTCCCCGTGCTATGCCATCCCGAATAATAGATTCCTTTTCTAAATTGCTTTTTTTCTAGCACTTCAAAAGTTATTCACTAGTGAATGAGATATCGACCCCCAAAAGATCAGCCGATACAATTAGTTACTGAATTATCACTGGTTCCCGCCCAACAATCAATAGCAAATATGTGCGGACCATGAGCCAGTCAGAGTCAGCTCGCAAAGTGGATCTGTCTGTGCCCGAAACAAATCGAAACACTTTCAGAGGTTTGGAGACTTCTAAAAAAATAACAGCGTTGCTGTTGAAACCCCTCAGCCAGAGTCAAGTTATCGACCGGAAACCATTAACCTTTAACTCAACATGGTGACCTTGACCTTTGGCCTCCGCCCCCAGAACCATGCAGTCCCAACATGCCTGTACCAATGGGAAACCCCCTACCGAAGTTAGACACCGAAATTTCATTTCTAACTCAAGTTATCATTCAGAACCATTGACATTTAACTCACCACGGTGACCTTGACCTTTGACCTATTGACCCTGAAACCAATCCCAACTTGCCTGTACCCAAGGGCAACCCCCTACCTAAGTCAGACACTAAAATCTCATTGCTAACTGAAGTTATCATCCGGAAACCATTAACATTTAACTCACCACGGTGACCTTGACCTTTGACCTTTTGACCCCAAAACCAACCCCAACTTGCCTACTCCCAAGGGCAACCCTCTACCAAAGTTAGACATCAAAATCTCATTTCTAACTCAAGTTATCATCTGGAAACCATTTACATGTAACTCACCACGGTTACCTTGACCTTTGAACTTTTGACCCCAAAACCAATCCCAACCTGCCTACTCCCAAGGGCAACCCCCTACCAAAGTTAGACATCAAAATCTCATTTCTAACTCAAGTTATCATCTGGAAACCATTTACATGTAACTCACCACGGTTACCTTGACCTTTGAACTTTTGACCCCAAAACCAATCCCAACCTGCCTACTCCCAAGGGCAACCCCCTACCAAAGTTAGACACCAAAATCTCATTTCTAACTCAAGTAATCATCCGGAAACCATTTACATTGAACTCACCATGGTGACCTTGACCTTTGACCTTTGGACCCCAAAACCAATCCCAAACTGCCTACTCTCAAGGGCAACCCACTACCAACGCTACACATCAAAATCTCATTTCTAACTCAAGTTATCATCAGGAAACCATTTACCTTTAACTCACCATGGTGACCTTGACCTTTGACCTTTTGACCCCAAAACCAATCCCAACTTGCCTACTCCCAAGGGCAACCCCCTACCAAAGTTACAATCCCAAACAACATTTCTAACTCAAGTTATCATCCGGAAACTAAGCTGCCCGGACGGACACACTGACATACATACATACGGACGGACGCACTGACGGACGGACGTCCGCCCTAGGCGATGGCAATACCCCACGAGCCTCTCGGCTGAGGGGTAAAAAGGGGGAAAAGATGGTTGTTTTGGTTGCAATAAAACGTACAAGTTGAAAATTATTAATTATAAAAAAAATTAGGGGGGGGGGACACAACTTTCATCGACTGTACTTTCTGAAAAGACAATAAATATGCCACAGTTCCTAAATGTGCTAAAAAAAATTCAACTACAGCACGTTTGTCTTGTTTACTTTCTGGTATTACAGAGGGAAGAAGTTTCCAGCTTTGCGTCAAGGGCAATGATGATGGAGAGAATGAGAGTCCCACTCAAGCTCCTATCGACTACCTGCCACTATCCACAATGGATCAAACTCCCAAGCAACCTGTGGATGTCTGAATGGTTTATATTATACACTTGATACATATATGGTTGGTGTATGCATTTTTACAATTTAAAAAAAAATTGTTTTGGATATTTTTAAAGGGAAAAATGGTTTTAAGTTGTGATTCTGTGTAGCTTGCTTATACAGGGTGAGTAAAATAAACTGAAACCTTTATGTCGGGACTCGGGACTATTATTTTAGTGAAGTTATGCATGTAGCACTTTCAAGATCTGCGCATTCGTTCAACAAAACAAAAACAATTAACACATTTGTGATTTGTTTTTGTTTTGCTGAAAGAACACTTACCTATTTGTGATCCATGGACAGAACTTTAAAACAGTGGTTGTGTTTACAATTCCGTAACTTGAAAATTACTTGAGTCATTTGAATGATTCTTGTACTAAAAGAAAGCGTTGAATTAGCCTTTCACATCCTAGATTTTGAAAGTGCTACCTGGAGAATTTCACTTAAACAATGGTCCCAACATTTGGGTGTTTTTTTTTATACTCACCCTGCATAGTTTTTTTTTCTCCAAACAAACATGATACTTTAAAAGAGATATGTGACGTGTATTTTGCTAGTTATTTTCTAAAAAAAAACCAGTCTGATTTATAACTCTAGTCTGGATGTTTCCAAGCTTCAAGCAAAGTATATACATACTGTAAATAGGCTCAAGCTGAATTTCTTAGATGAGATCATTATGTATTTATAACTTTGTGGCTAAAGCCAACATCAAAATAATTAAACCAACATATATTGGAAAAGCATTTTATGGTTTGTATTGCTTTAGAAGTGCATACCCAATGTTCTTGAAAAAACTCAAGAGTTTTCTCTTCATAAATTTCCAACTTGTACGTATTAATTCAACCTCAACAAAACCCTTATTACATTTCTTTGTTGGACGTCTGCAACCTTTGGAGGAAAAAAATGGTTTTTATTTTGGGCACGAACAGATCTACTTTGCAAGCAGACTGGCTCCCAGTCCATACATTATTGATACTGATTCCCGGGCAGCACCAGTCAACCCTGCAAGAATGCAATTATTGTCTGGCTGCCAATGATTCAAAATTTGTGAAGTAATAATTCAATAAATAAACATGCGTCAACTTTTCCAGACAATGCCTCATCCAGTAATGAAAAACATTCGTACAGCTAATAGAGACAAAATATTCGGAAAAGAAATCAATATTTTGGGATGAAAGTCCAAAATAGCACAGCTAACGGAAGTTTATACTACACATGTACAGAGTTTAAGGGACAAATAAACATTTGTGGAAAGGTTCATTTTTCTGTTCTTTAGTTTTAGTTAATGAAAAAAATTATGGTTGTGGTTATGGGTAATTTCAAAATGATTGAATAAATTCTTTGATGATATGAACTGATCAAAATGTTCTCAGACAACAAAAGTTATATTAGAATTTCACTTATTAATATTTTTATATGTTTTTACAGAATACTCATATGTCGCTGCTGAAAAATTCTATTAAAAATACTGGGGAAGAACAAAGAATTTTAGTGTTTTCTTTATGGGAGTTGAAGGTCGGTACATTTTCAATTAATATTAAAAACACAATTTGTTTGCCAATAAAAGGTTTTTCACCAAATGAATGCACAAACTACAAGTGATATCGCCTTTGTCTGCAGTCCCTAATCAAAGTTACATCAAAATAAATGAGGTAGACAAAGAAACATTTAAATTTGAACAATGATCTCTAATGTCCCCTACATGACCTTTGACCTTAACATCCCGAAGAAGAATTGTCTCTTGCCACCCAAGGCTCAGTGCTTCGAAGTTTCATCAAAAATCCATCACAGCATGTACAATGTTAAAAACTTTATCCAAAAATTTAACCTAAACTTGAATTCACCCTAACCCTGCTAAATGCCACAGAATGCACCAGTAGTAAAAGCATCGTTGCAAGTTGTTGCATTGAGCAGTCTCCTGATCTGATGCATTCCATGTCTGCATTCTGTTGCATTTGGCAGGGTGCCTAGAGAATACCCCCTGAATCAATTATTGACCTATCAGCTGACCGTTGATATTTGACCTTTCACCTGAAATATATCCCACATTATCTTGGACACTCAGTGACCATTGTGTCCAAGTTTTATGGAATTCAGTTGGGTACTTGGGAAATGATAGCAATTTGAAAAACCTGAACATGTACAATGTACGGGCATACCGTTATGCAGTCCTACAGAATTGAGTGACACAAAAAACCCAGCTGTTTGCGAGGTCACAAAAGTCATAATAATTATATGTCTATTTCTATATCTTTGTACTTCCAATGGTAATTAATGCAGAAAACAGTGCTAGACTACTTTGTGCTAGCGGGATTATATACACCGACAAGAATGTAACACTATCGGTTCGGCAATGCCATACAGGTCTTTGTATTTCCAATGCTAATGCAGACTACAGTGCTTGACTACTTTATGCTTGAGTAACACTGATGGATTCATATCTAGGTTAAAAGGACGGTGGTTGGTAAAGGGAACACACCCTTCCATATGGAACAGCTCAGCTCATACTTTTCATGCTGACACACTGATCAAGTACTGAAGAATTCAAGATGCATTACGAGGACATTTTGAATCATATCGGGCCTTTTGGCAAGTACCAGAAACTGCTGGTGTTTGCCTTGTTTTTGGTTATTATTCCACCTCCGTTTCACTTCATAGGGCAGGTGTTCCTGGCTGCTAACAACGATCACTGGTGTGCAGTACCAGCCAGCCAGATGATCAACTGCAGCCAACTCCAGCTGGCTGAGTGTCAGGAAGAGCAGAAGAGCTACAGTATTCCCTATGAGATTGATGATGATGGAAACAAAGTCTACTCCTCGTGTGAGCGGTATGTCATGAATGATGAAGACGTTGGTAGAAACATGAGTTTGAATTCAACGGACGTCATCTCGTGCGATGCTGGCTGGGAATTTAATCACTCACACTACAAGTCTACCATCAATGAAGATTTCAGCTTGGTCTGTGACAGATAGGATCTACCTGCCTATGCCCAGTCAGTTTGGTTTGCAGGATTTCTGGTTGGTTCCTTGGTTTGGGGTTCTGTGGGTGACTGGATTGGTAGGAGAAAG